TTTTTTGTCATTTTTTTGTTGTTTTTCTTGATTTTTTTGAAAACTGTTGAAAAATGTTTACGTTTGACCTCTATTATGCACCAAGGATCTTCAATTTTACATCGGAAACCACCCCCAAAGTTTGAAATCAAAGCATTATTTTGACTAGTTATGTTGTACAGACACACAAAAAAAAACACATCATTGTAAAATCAATACATTCATCACTTCGTTCAGAATCTAAAAGGAGTGCAGTTGGAAATAATTTTAATTTTAAAAGTTTGTTCGTACAAAAAATTATTAATCAAGTAAAAATTCAACGTCCATAGCTTACGAAGAAAATAACATACGTCGAATCAGAATTTTTAAATGTTAATTTTTAAAAGAAAAACGGAGGCGTGCCTGCTTGATGAATCATCTTGTAAGTAAACAATATTCTTGAACATTATAATATTCAAATTCAATGGTAGCGCAACTAATATATTAAATTATGTATGTACACACATTTTACGTTTATATAATTTTTACGTGTAATTTTTACGGTACACACGCCATACGCCGGTGTCACTTATTTATTATATCATTATATTTTAGTGCACAATTTATAACGTACACCAACACCAGCAATCAGCATGGAGTATAATTTCGTAGGTGTATATTTTTTCAGGATTGTTTGATAATACTTCGTACATTTAAAATATACTTATTATCCATGATGTTCATTGCGGTTTTGTTACTTTTACAAACATGGTTTTCAATAGATACTAATATTGATTTTAATAAAGACAAATTAGTACAAAATACAACTTATAACTACTAGCTGATTAGTATATGTCAAAGTACGGAGAATTAATTTGTTTAACGCGTAAAGGCATAGATAAAGTTGCATGATCAATTAATCATAAAGATATTGGAAATTTATACTTCTTATTTGGAATTTGATCAGGTATAATTGGATCATCTCTTAGAATTTTAATTCGATTAGAATTAAGTCAAATTAATTCAATTATTAATAATAATCAACTATATACCAATCGTAATTGGTGGATTTGGATATTGATTAATCCCTTTAATAATATGATGTCCAGATATATCTTTCCCACGATTAAATAATATTAGATTTTGATTACTACCCCGCTTCATTAATAATAATAATTTGTAGATTTATAATTAATAATGGAACAGGAACAGGATGAACTATTTATCCACCTTTATCGAATAATATTGCTCATAACAATATTTCAGTTGATTTAACTATTTTTTCTTTACACTTTCATCAATTCTAGGAGCAATTAATTTTATTTGTACAATTCTAAATATAATACCTAACAATATACAATTAAATCAAATTCCTCTTTTCCCATGATCAATTCTAATTATAGCTATTTTATTAATTTTATCTTTACCAGTTTTAGCTGGTGCTATATTACAATACTATTAACTGAAATTTAAATACTTCATTCTTTGATCCAGCTGGAGGAGGAGATCCTATTTTATATCAACATTTATTTTGATTTTTTGGTCATCTTGAAGTATATATTTTAATTTTACCTGGATTTGGATTAATTTCTCATATTATTAGACAAGAAAGAAATAAAAATGAAACATTTGGAAATATTAGAATAATTTATGCTATAATAATAACAATTGGATTATTAGGATTACACATATATCAATTTTACCTAAACATAAAATTATAAATATAAATCTCATTTGACTTAAAGTTGAAAAAGCAATAATTTTTTTAAAATCAAATTCAAAAATTGCATTTAATCCAGCTATAAACATTGTTAAACAAGAAATAACTATTAAATAATTTAAAAAAGAAAATTTAAAAAAAATTTCATTAAAACGAATCATTATATAA